GGGATAGTATTTGGTTTTGAGGCTGGATGCGGTTGCCTCGCCAGTCGGCATTGGGTCAACGAGAGCAATAAGCTCTGTTGAGGGGCTTGAGATAACGGATTGTGCGTGGCGAGGGCCAATGAGGCCTGCACCGATAATGGCAACTTTGATGGGCATAAGGTTGTTGAGGCCAAAAGCAAATTTCTGAATTGACACAATACGTAGGAAACCCAATCTGGCTTTTGTGTTCCTTTTGCAGAAAGTGTGCTCCCCGGATTCTGAGTAGCATTGACGATTCGGCGCCGGTACATGCCGGCATTTTGTTTGCATAGAAAACCATTTCTAAGAAGCAAATCCCCCGATGTGGAATAGCGGAGTGATTGTGGAGAGGAAGTGGAGGCGGGAAAACGAAAAAGGGGGAGCGTTTACCCGCCCATGTGACTTGCCTCGTCATCAAGACACGAATCATAGCAGACCAGGGAAAACGTTCAATCACAGAACTGTACGGAGTAGGGAGTCGGGGATAACGTTTTGTCGTTTTGGTATCTTCCATTTTTATAAGAAAACCCCTAATATCGTTGGTTGTCCTTGAAGACATCCTCGCCCCCTGAATATCTCTTCGCTTGGAAACTTTAAAGAGAAGAGAGAGCCTTTTATTTTATGATATCGCCATTTATATAATTCCAAAATGGCTTTCAACCGCCCCGCCATCGCTTCAATGTCCCTAGGTCGGCCCTGGGTGCACGACCTACCCGGCAAGCTGATACAAGCCGCAGACCACGGTTTCGAGGGTATTGAACTCTTCTTCGACGACCTAGACTGCTACGCGCAGCGGATATTTGGCGGTGATCACCACGAAGCCGCACGTTCAACACGACGGATGTGCAAGCGCCTGGGCCTCACCATTATCTGCTTACAGCCATTTTCTATGTACGAGGGCCTCATTGACCGCGCCGAGTCAGACCGGCTCATCAATGAGAAGCTCCCTAAATGGTTCACCCTAGCGCGGGCGCTGGGCACAGACATGATCCAGGTTCCGTCAAACTTCCTCGGACCAGACCCAAAGACCGGCGCTGCACGTACCACTAGCGACCGCACTATCATTGTTCGTGATCTCCAGCGGCTGGCCGACTTGGGCGCCGGTGCGGGGTTCCGGTTTGTCTACGAGGCTCTATGTTGGGGCGATCATATTGATACTTGGGAAGCCTCGTGGGAGGTGGTCCGTGATGTCAACCGTCGCAATTTTGGTCTCTGTCTTGACTCCTTTAATATCGCCGGTCGTGTATATGCTGACCCTGCTGCAACTTCGGGTCGCACGCCCAATGCGACTGCAGACTTGGCTGCCTCATTGCAGCGGCTGCGCACTGCCAACATCGATCCAGCCAAAATCTTCTATGTCCAGCTCGTGGACGGTGAGCGTCTTTCCGCTCCGTTAGACGAAAGGCATCCTTTCTTTGTTGCTGGACAGCCTGTACGCATGAATTGGTCCCGCAACGCCCGTCTATTCCCCCTTGAGGAGTCGCGTGGTGGTTATCTGCCCATTGTGGACGTCGCGCGCGTCTTCTTCGAAGATATCGGCTTCCGTGGCTGGGTTTCCCTTGAACTCTTCAGCCGAACTCTCGGCGAGACCGATCCATTTGTTCCCGCCGACCACGCTCGCCGCGGTATGGACTCATATAAAAAAATGGCTTGTATCTTGCGCTGGGATGAGCCTTCTACAAACATCTCGGTGCCAATCCCGGCGCCCGAGTCGCCTGTTCAACACCGCCTCTAAGGTTTTGCCTTTCTCATTCTGTATAGCACATGGCATCTGTACATACATCTTTTAACGAATTTTGATGATATTTATTTTAGTACCTACCTAGGTAGGTAGCCTGTATGCTTTACCAATCATGGAAATTGAGGTCTACGAGGAACCGGAATACAAATAAGGATTAGCTCGTGCTCTAAGGAAGTGGCAAAATGGGCATATGGTAGCAAATACAGCTGATAATGTCATGCTTGTCTAGTCTTGCTTATTCAGGCGCTCTTGTTGTTAATCTTAAGGAGCTCGACCTCACTGCAAAATAGTTAGTTACCCGATATTATGTTTTAATTACAGGAACTTACAAGATCAAAGTAGAGCCTGCAGGAATCTTGCCAGCCGCCCTATGTAGAAGAAGAATGTTAGGACACCCAGCTATGTATTAAGCGACTGTATGCCTAGGTAGTGTTCACTTACTTGTCACCGTACCCGTAGTCCCTGAGAAATAATGTTAATATTAATATTTATCCAATTTCCTCGTCGAATGGACTCCACTCACGGGGAAATTGTCAGGGTTGCCTTCTCTCCCAGTGTCATCTGCAGAACACCCTCATCCCAACCTAATCAGACAGATAGCATTAGCATACATTATAACAAGACAAGGGATTCAATCATTGCAGATATAAACGATTCCATTAAGATGAAAAATATTCAAGAGGATAGGATAGATACCTTTGATGACCTGTCCAACACCAATCTGAACATTCAAGGGGCCACGGCCAGGGGTTCTGGAGCTATCGAACCTATTTTCATAGATAATTAGTACCTGAATTACCTCATAAGCTATATGGCTCTAGGGTATGACAGTCAGCTTACTGCTTGCCCTGGAAGCCCTTATTGGCCTTCTTAGCATCGTAGATCCATCCTGTGTAGTGGATAGAGACCTTATCGCCCGAAGCAGGCGAGTCAGATCCGTTACCACGAGTAATAATCTTTCTCTCGACACCCATATTGAATTCTGGTTTTGTAGTAAACGTCAAGGCGAAAAAAAGTAAGAGTGAAAGAAGAAATGAGGTTCGTAATTTTCTCGAAGTGGGGGGAAAGCGGGAGCGGCGAATGATCTCCGATATGATGTACAAGGATGCTTTGTTTTTCGAGTGAACATCTTACATTTTTCTACCACGTCGTAACCTTGGAAAGCTTTATAAATTATATCATTGTTTGTTTGATCCCTAGTAACTCGGATTCGCTAGGGATCATAACATGACCTCCGCCTCTCAAAGAGCTCGACCCTCGAAGTAAGCGCTGTTTGAAATAGCACCTGGACATGCATGAGGAGTCACGAAAGGTTAAAAAGACGCCAAATACGCTCAGAATCCTCTCTGCAATTTCAATTTTTAAAATCATGCCGCGAAAAACGAATGTCTGCATACAAGAATCGATCATCGATTCATCCACGCATTATGGCCTTCCATTTCTAGATGGAACGCGCCATGCCCTCGACGGCTCCACAATTTTGCTGAAGCAGAAAAGCGCCCTCCTTGCGCTCAGGACAGATGAAATACTCACTGGGCTAGCATTGCCCAATCTAGTGAGTACTCGGTCTTCAACCGAGAAATGCAGACATTAAGCATATCCTCTGCTTTGGCTACTCGCCAAGGTATACGAAAGATCGTGCATGATCCGCAACGTGGCGAGCTGGACGGTCACCGTATTCGTCGCCATTCTTGACTGCCAAATGCCACAGTTTCTCGATATCTCGAACCAGTCCTGCGCCTTTTCATGCGATTTGGCAGTGGTATCGGAGTAGCCAAGACTGTTTGCAACGTGGCAGAGAATAGTCATTTGCTGCGGGTTTCCTGGAATGGTTCTCTGTAAGCCTGCTCCATCTTCTCAATTGCCTTGAGTTGCTCTTCCAGGCTTTCAGCGACTTGCGCTTGGTGAACCGAAATTAATGCATCTACATGCAGGAGTTCCTTGCCGCAATCAGCCAGAACCAGAGCTTGTCTATTGATACCACAAGTCATCGCTAGCTCCTTCATGCTGTTATGTTTGGATAAGTATCTATTCAATAGATCAATATCAAAGGCACGGGGACTTGGTCAGAGAAATCACACCTTTGATAGAATGCAAGTAGATCACAAAACGCCCATAGTAGTTTTGAAAGAGTTGAAAGGTTTGAATGACCCGAAACGCATGAGCTCCGTAACGAAATAGTCTCTGAGATTCAAGACGTGTGGCACATATCGATGGCATGAACCCAATAAGATACTGTCCGCCCACGTATTCTCGAGTCTCTCGTCAGCCCACGAATCATAGAGTAGAATGGCAGCATTTTTGAAGCTGCGTTGACGATCATCGTCACTGAGCATATTTCTCAACTCATTGTGAACGTTTTTATCTATCGTGATTGTGTGCAATTCTGTTTGCCTCTGGATGAATTCCAAGTTGAGAAGGACACCCAGTGCGTTCTTGGTGCTGAATATTTTGCTGGTAAGCAATAATCACATATGATTCCAATATACAGACTTCATCCTACCTCGACTCATTACACTAGAATTTCAATTCCGGAGAGAAGTTGCTGCGATCACGAGCCTCAAAAATGGTCAGGGAGATTGAATCAGGCTTGAAAAATAAAGAAGATTCTCAATAAACGTCGACTATTGATATCCAGAGATTCGAAGATCGTGGACGTGGACAAGGCAGCAGTAACCTCGTTGCGCGATGTGTCTTTGTCCATCTGGATACGGGCTGCGCTTCTTGGAGATAAGCTATACCAAGCGGCGTTGAATATATAGATTCAGAAATCTATAAAAAGGCGTGTAAAAAGCGAAAATTGTAAGAATTGATTGGTATACCAAGTAACAAAAACGTCTGACCACTTCATCCGTAGGAAAAGAGCCCATATATAGAAAGCAATCAATCACTGGCGTTCGTAATATCATGCGCTTTCCCGTTGATGGTGCAACCTTTCGTAGAGAATGGCCTAGCTTCAGATTTTCCTGTTGAGGCCAAGGCTATATGTTGTTTGTAGAGAGGAAAACTGTATAGAGTTGGCCTGGATCGGCTACCAACAGTTCTCGGCAGGCAGGGCCTATTTAGATTTAGCGCTGAATGCCGTGAGTAATGGAGTGAGTATTGATTACGTGTAGGAAGAACAAATGGAGAGAGCTATCTGTCTGAATCATATGAAAGGGGAGTCGGCCTGTCGGGTATAATTCTCGAAATATGACCAACGAGACAGACAATACGATGGCCACTTGTAAATCTTTTGATCCTAAAAATATAAGGTATCACTTTCCGATATAGGATGCCCATTCTTTCGGTCTAGTCTATATCGAGATTTGCAATACCAAATGTTAACTTTGGAATCATCAGATACGATATTGACTTTGATAGAATCGATATGAGCATCTTGAGGAATAGTATCCCCTTGCTTGACGCCATTTGACTCGATTTCGATCATCCTCTGAAATGCTGCGGTCATTGCAGAGATCCAGGAATCCTGGTATTTGCACGCATTCAACAGAGCAACGATGTCACTCCTCACCAGCCAGTTGCGAGATTTTACCCCACACCATAGAAGGGCATTCACCGCAGATATCGCTATATAAGACTCCGGCAATGGGACGTTTTCGAAACCAAACCGAAGGAGGGCTTTTGCTAAGCAAACTGCACGCTGGAAATGCGTTGTGTAGTCATCATATGACAGGTCGAGGGGCTCGTGACTACTGACGACAGTCAGCTTTATGTTGATAATTAAACTCCGTAACTCGAGTAAGGTCAACATGTCGCAGTGTCGTTGTAGCATATCTCCATTTTCCCGAACCCACTTGAGTTGACTTCGCCAAAGCCGAAGTTTGCTCAGGACAGCAATTTCGCCACGCCCGATGGGTGAACTCGCAGGTCCTATACCGAACCCTTCTCCTGGGTGGCTCCTCACTAGCTGCCACCCGACGACCATCATGAAGTGGCTATCTCTTTCAGACTTATCAATTCCCGATGAGTTAATCATTTTGTGGATATCAGCAATACCAGGGGAAATCAGACGCTGGTCCTCCACAAATTTCCTTGGGTCCTCACATGTCCAGAAATGTAGGTGAACCTGAGCAAAAGCCTGTTTCAAAGTTTGACCATTGGGGCTCTTCTCATAGTCGACAGCCACCCATTCCTCGAACAGCCTATACCCAGATAGAAAATGGCAGCGGGCGGCGAAGACATCTTCTTGGAAGAGAGCTAGCATCGACAGAATAATGCAGGTGACGAGCACTGTTTCTTTATGAATGCGACTCGACTGCTCCCGGACAAGACTGTCCCGAAGGCAGGTTACTGCCTTGGAAGTCTGACTAAGAACCAACGGACTTTCTCGATCCTCAATTTGTTTGGTTTGAACCTCTTCAAATTGATTTTGTCGGGCACCCATTGCTATTGCCGCATGAAGAACCGCAGGATGTGCTTCGCACATCTGATGCACCAACTGACCCAGAATGGATCTTCAAAGTACTCCATGCACATTGTACCGTACTTTTTCGGAAGTAATCCAAGTGCCAGCGCTCGGTCCAGTTGAGATGAACCTGACATGGATCGACCAGACAAGCCATACCATTCATAGAAGGCGTGTGTGGGGCTTTGTATTGTTTATGCGCAGACATTGCAGTCTTATCGCCTGAATGGGGCTTCTCGGCTTTGCGCCAGGCACGGGTCCTCTTATCGGGCACCTGCACATAGCCATCACATTCCCTATCAGTGCTCGTGCAATTTCGACAGGCCGGGAGAGCCTCGTCGCACTTTTTACGCCGAACTCTATATTGTAGACCCATCAGTAAGTGATTGTGGATTATCGGGGCTGTGACTCTTCTGTTTCCCAAAGGGCTCATACTTGCACGTGATACATCCTGTTCGGACTTTTGAATGCGTTGATCTTGATTTTCGCTCAGACATGACTTTGTACGTCAATTGACGCCTGGATATGCAAGGTCGAAAATTCCTACGGCATAAGGAGAGAAATGTTACGGGCTGCCGCGAATAAACCCCACTCTTGGCGCCGATCCGCCAGATCGAGTACGTGGTCAATTGCGGAGTACGTATATCGTACATGGCTTTGTATATCAATATTGGATGATATTATTCATTTTATGAACAGATGCTCGATAGTGTTGCGGGAGCTTGTATATTAGGCATGTGAACTGTATTTATACGTGACTATTATACCTCAATGTACAACATACAGAGGAGAGATGCCAGATCTCCAGTACCAGATAGATTGATATAATTGTAAGTGGACCCAGCATCTCATTGGCCACTATGGAATACACACCGATATTTATAATGTTGCCTATGTTGTATGATGTATTTCATTTCCGAGGCCGTTGTTTTGCGCGTCCAGATCGAAATATCCTGTTGGCAGGGATTGGACAGTGTACCGCAGCAGAAAAGAATAGATAGACTTGACACATTCTGAGACAAGCCCTGATACATATATCGGGAGTTCTCGACACTTAATTTCCTTGACCAGTATTTGAAAGGATGAGCTTGGCTATTAATAATTAATTAATTGTGTAGAGAAGCGGCTTAGAAGTGGTCTGTACATAGCATTGTAAATGGAAATGGTAGAACAACCTTGCCACTATTCATTTTCGGACAGCAAGGAAAAGGCTGAACATCCAACATCCAGCAAGCCTAGTGGTCAAAGAATAGCTGGTATGTGCAAGCCACTCTGAAGCAACTCCCCTTGAATCCAATGGACTCCCACGTGATACGACAAGCCGTTTCACAATTTCCAGACAGCGGAGGCCTTAGCTGAGATATAAAGGATCAGGGGTAAGGTGGGGTACTGTCACTAACACCGTGCCTTCAGGCTGAAGTTCAGCTCGGGAATATCATTAGGCTCTAGACTCAGATTGACTTAGGTCCTGCGGGATTCTTTGTGAAACCATACACAGGGCTGAAAATGAAGGACCAAAGTCCGGACATAGCGTGTGAGAAGTGTAGGAGAAGTGTTTGAGACTAAATAGCCGTACCGTGGTCGAGACAAAGGGGCTAATCCTTAGTGGGATGCTCTGATTCAAAGAAAGCCTAGGAGAAGCTGAAAAGCCGTTTGGGCCTCTTTATCCATATTGTAAGTGGCTTTTTTGGGGCTGAGATTGTTGGGAGAATATAAATATATGAGACTAGCAGACTAGCACCAACTTCATTATCATTTTGACGGAGATTAAATCGGACTAGACAAAATTCAGGGGTATCAGAAACCTCATTGGTTGTATGGGGAAAATGAAGGTCCGCACGTTCTGGGCATCAGTCAAAGTACGGTATATGTACTCCGTAGTAAGGATGCGAATAGGTTGGGCAGTTACAATATAGGCAGAAGGAAATGTATTGAGTAATTAAGAGAAAAAAAAAGATATTAAAAGAGATAAAATGATATTCGTAAGTTACGGAAGACCTTTTGGTGGCAGAAAGCCAAAAGTTCACCTTCATCTACGGAGTAGTCTCTCCTTTCTCATCCCTCGCCCCCTAATCTGGCTCCCATGTTTCATTGCTTTTTCTTTTCTTTTTCTTTTTAATTATACTCGTTACTCCCGGATTTCGTTTCCTTTCGCCTCGGGGATTCCTCCGTCAAACCTCGAACCCAATCCAACGCCCGCGAGGGGCAATCTCCGTTTCGCTTCGCCTGTTGCGCTTAACAGTTACAACACCCGCGATTATTTATCTGAAACACCTCTGTAGCACGGCTAGCAGTGCCTGGTACGTCGAGAGATTGATGCCCATGATCCCTGGTGCATGCGCAATTATCATTGCCGTCGCTATCATCCTGGTCCGACCCGCCCCATACGTGGTCAGCCCTGTCTTGGTTCGGGACAGATTGGGAGGACTGGTATCTTACGCTTAAAACTAGTTTGATCACGTTTTTTTAACTCGGTACTCTGCAGGTTCAGCCACCATTCGCCGTTCTTTCAGCCCCCTGTTACATCTCCCCCTCCAAACCCGCACCGACGTCCCCATCTCCCCAATTCTGGCGCCCACCGCAGGTTACGCACAACGAGAAGTATCTTAAAGAAACCGGCACCAACGGCGCATGTGACTGCGAGTGAGATCTTCCATAGCGATCACGAATCGCCCGTATACGCACGATTTTGGACTTAGTCGATTTCCCCCGCCAGACTTATATTCGCATGGATATACGGCAATAGTCAACCTTACATTTTGCGCGGTAAACAGTGGATCTGAAGATGGAGAACCAGGGCGCTTACCCGGAGTCTCCTATGGAGCAGGACGAGTCCTACCCATGCAAGGGCTGTGGAGAGGTAGGCACAATGTGGAGCGAGTGGACAGGAACTCGACTAACTGTCCTGCCAGACTCTCGAAGAAGGGAAAGCGTTTGAGCTTGGTATGTCGGATACGTGCGGCTTTTTGGCATTTTTTCATGTCGCTAACCTCTTGCAGCTGGAAACCGATGGCACATCGACTGTTTCCGATGCAGTACATGCAGCACTCTGCTGGACTCGGACGCGCACCTCCTCCTTTTGGGTGATGGATCACTTATATGCAGTAACTGCACATATAGTTGTAGCTCCTGCAACAACAAGATCGAGGATTTGGCCATCTTGACGGGAGACCAGGCTTTTTGCGCTCAATGCTTCCGATGCCGGAACTGCAAGCGAAAGATTGAGAACTTGCGCTATGCGCGCACTTCACAGGGTATTTTCTGTATGGAATGTCACGAATCGCTAATGGCACGAAGAAGAAAAAGGAAAGCCGGCGGCAGTAGTGGGAAAAAGCCAGCGGGGCCTAATGTGAAGCTGGACAAATCCTTACCCTCGCTGCCTCCCCACCTCATTGAAGAAGCGCAAGAAATGGATGGGGAGCCCAGTGAATATACGGGCACGCCTGACCCTAATAGAATGCCGGAAACGCCAGATCTAAATGATGAAAGACCGGGAAGCGCAATTTCAAATCAGCAGGCTGATTCAGGTAAGAAACCCTTTTGCAGCCTAGACAAACGATCATGGCAGGCTACACTTGTCCCCTATTGTGGCATCTTGGACCGATCTATAGACCGCTCTGTATTCCTTGAACTTGTCGCTACCGCCTATACTGTTGTTGTGATCGCGTGATCTATGAAGATGAAATAAACATCTTCGCGTTCTGACCTAAGGACTCTTGCTTACTTTCCTCGCAGATAATATCATGCTTCCCTCCAGCACATACCGCAGCAGTCGTCAATCAATTCCACGCAATACTGACGCTGATGGTGGTGAATTATTGATTCCTCTTGCGTTTGATCCTTCGGGTGAGGGTAATTCTTCCCGTGGTCACTCACAGACACGGCAGGAGCCTACCCGTGAGTTTTTCAATCAAGTTCAATCTGGTGAATCCTCACATAGGGCCTCACGCGACGGCCGTGAATATCTGCAAGAACCCAATTCGCGTACCTCTTCGGACAATAATTCGCCCCATATTGCCTATCAGGAGAAGGGCTGGGAACGAACTGAGGCCAATTCGCCCGACAAAGCACTATTTCCAATCTCTGATTCGTCTAAGCTTGCAAAGGCAGGCTCTGCTCGCAGGTCATCCGATATACCGATCAGCTTCAGAGAAACAAGCAACCTTTCTGGGCCTACCAGCCCTGATACCGGCAGATCAAAGGAATTGCCCAGTGACGCAAAACGACACACTCCTATGGATAACGTTACTTCGGCTCCAGCTCGTTCCTCGAATGAGCTTCGTCGTCCTCATGACCACGGCTCAATGGAATCACCCCGCTCTCAAACCTCCGGCTTGCCGCATTTGCCAAAGCGTGGCGATTCACTGGAGAGCAAACTTCACCAAATTCCAAGGAAAGAGGTCGGATCATCGCCTGCGTCATCGCAATACGGGGACTCTCCCATGCTCCGTAGTGACACTTTCGAACAGCCCATTCAACCTACTGCCCTGAACACATCACCACTTGAATCACACCAATACGATGGCGCCGGCGCGTCAACATTGCTACGATATAATAGCGGAGGCGACTTCTCTATGGACGAGGAATTATCGCGCATCATCGGTGGCGATGATACCGTTGGGCAAAATAACGAGTCATTCCTGCGGCGCGTCTCAAACTCTGTCCGCCATGGACGTAGCTTCAGTGAGAAAAGTGTGCGGACGAGCAAGGATCTCAAGAAACCTCGATCACCTAGCAATCGAAGCATAGCTGGAACGGATGTTGGCAGTCCCATCGCCGGATCACAGAGCGAAGAGATCTCTTGGCTTCGCAACGAACTGCGCAAGGAACGTCTACGAGTTGCAGAGCTGGAATCCGCCGCTCGCACCGCAGCAGACGTCAAGCAGGTTAACACCGAGCTTTCCGAGAAACGATCTACCATGGTCGTCCTGGACGCTCAGCGCGAGATCGTTCTGCGTGAGCTCACGGTTCTCACTGATCATATGGAGGCTGAAAAACGTGGTGGCGCCAGCGGGCCGTTGGATCTTGGCAAACTCTCGAACCATGTGCTCCGCGAGCTGGCCGAGTCCATTCAGAAACTGAAAGACGCGTATGCCCCACAAATTGAAGACCTCATGCAAAAGCGCAATGACTTGTCGGAGGAACTGGAAGCCATGAACACTCGAAAGGAGAAGAGCTTCCAAGAATTCGAGCAATTATCTATGAAGAACGCACAGCTAGCTGAGTTGAACAATCAGTTGGTTCACCAGATCCAAGAACTCTACAAAGCTACGGAAGGTCAACCCCGACCTAACGGTTTAGGGATTTCACACAACAAGCAGAGGTCGACGAACTCCATTGAAGTGGTGAAACCTTCCTTGAACGAGTATCAGGGATCTGTGTCGACTGCTCAAATTTCAGAGTCCGAGCCTGCTACAGCTACTGTTGTGCCAGGCCCTCAGGTTGTCAGCATTCGCAAGGGCCAGCCTCGCAAGTTCAACTGGAAAAAGGGTGGACAGAATGTCGCCAAAGGTGTTAAGGGTCTTAAGGGGGCCTTTATGTCTAGCGAAGGAGGACAGGCGCAAGAGGGTGGCGGTGGTATACCGCGTTCTCAAACTCAAGACCCGAGTCGCCAAGGCTTTGGATTCTTTGGAAACCAGAGAGGCAAACAGGGAGGAAAGATGTCGCAGGCCGATAGCGTGCCTGTGTTGTCTGAAGTTGCTGCTGATGGTATGTCCCCGATACGAGCTTTCAGGATATCCGTATAGACTAATGATTTTCAGCTCTTTTCGGCACCGAACTCGAGGCTCGCATGGAACATGAAAAGAGCATCATTCCGTCTATCGTTACGCGGTGTATCCAGGAAGTTGAATTGCGAGGTATGCTTTGTCGTTCGTTATCCCGGCGCTCATTATACTAAAAATATAATCAGGAATGGACATGGAAGGCATTTATCGCAAGTCTGGTGCCGCTTCAGTCATCCAAACTATTCGCGAAGGCTTCGAACGCTCTCCATTTGATCACGATATCTCCGACCCTGACCTTGACATCCATGCTGTCACATCTACTTTGAAGCAGTATTTCCGCAAACTTCCTAACCCACTGATCACTTACGAGGTTTACGAACTTGTGATAGATTCTGCCGAGGTTAGCCCTATGTCCGCGCGAATTGAGCTCATGCAGAAGAGCCTACTTGAGCTGCCTCGCGTGCACCGCGATGTCCTGGAGTTCCTCATCTTCCATCTCAGCCGTGTAGTCGAGCGCCACGAAGACAATTTGATGACTAGTCAGAATGTTGCAGTGGTCTTCGCGCCGACAATCATGCGACCCGAAAGTCTGGCCCGCGAGATGACTGACGTTCAGAAAAAGAACGATGTCATGAAATTCCTGGTGGAGAACTGCCACGAAATTTTCACGGGCATGCAGGGCTAGGGTTGAAGTGCTTCTCTTCTCCAGTCCTCACATTCACCCCAATCTCTCATAATCGCAGTCATATCCCAATTCTCCCAATTATTGGGCGTGATATCGAATTGTGCTTTCACGAACCCTACATGGTCTTTTCCGAACTTTGTTCTCTCTCCCCTTTTTTTCGTACAGGTACCACGTACTTCCCCTCCCCTCGGCTCCCACTTCTCTGCTCGGTTCACGGTCAGCGCTGCACGCTTGATTCAGATACCCTGTCTTGCCTTTTTCTCTTTCTTTGATGCCCACTTTTCCCTACATATTCCGCAGATTCAAAGCTAGTTGATTTCCCTAGCCCTGGCTGTCCTTGAGTCTTACCTCATAGGCTGTTCGGGTAAACAAAAATTCCTTATGGGTGGTTCACTTCCTGTCCTTTTGAAGCACGTTGGTGTTTTGTTTGTTTCCAACTCTGAGCGAGCATTGAATCGTCTTCTAGCGTTATGCATCTCTATGCAGCACTTCAAGTGAAATGCTGTATTGGCTGCAATGGTGTTCATACACGTTAGGTAGACTCCTAGTATGATTATCATGAATATTTGATTTGATATTAAACATTCTCACAGGTTATATATGGAAAAGTCGTTTGAAATTGCGCCTTTTCACACGGACTGTACGCTTGTGGGAAAGGACTTTCACCACTGTAGCGTGGTAAATATTGAAAATATAATGTCTGTTCCATCATTCCCAGCCAACACGATCAGATTCCTAAAGTTCCATTTCAAGGACAAGAGGCATAAGTGACTATTCCTGTAAACGTAAAAAGTGTAGATGTGCCAGGTGGACATAGCTGGTCCAAGCACCCACCGCCTACGACATCGAGGCCACCCGAGCTTCCCCCTCAACCCCGAAGACGCTCCCAAGCCTCATCGAAGGCCCTTGAATTCCCCGAATACATAATCAACCATGTCCAAACCAAGCAAATACCTCCTCCTTTCTCTCCCAACCTCCATCGTCCCCTCGCACCACCGTGAGGACGCCCTCGAAGCAGTCTCGACCACCGTCTCCCCAGACAATGGCTCCACCACCTCCTTCCCAATTCCGGAGTTCAAGATCGGCACGCTAGATGCCCTCGTCCAGCAGGCAGACGAGCTCTCGAAGCTCGAGGCTTCGTGCGAGAGTGTCGTTGCCAAGGTCGGCGATGCGTTGAAGAACATCCTTGAGGACGAGTCGCAGATTGAGCAGATGAAGGTTGTCAACGATAGTACGTCTCCAGCTTGGTATTGATCTGGCTGTGGAGGGGAAAAACATCACAGTCTTTGAGGAGATAATCTCTGTGTTCTAGGTTCTGACTGCCTACAGAGCCAGTCGATCAGTACCTGCGTACTTTCCAATGGAACAAAGTCAAGTACAGGGCCGATAAGCCCTTGGCGGAGCTGATCGATCTGCTGCAGAAGGTTTGTTGCGTTGCGCATAGAAATGAGGGGTTTATCTTGGAGTTCCATACTAATGTGTCTTTGTCTACTATAGGAAGCGGCCAGTATCGACAACGACATCCGATTCAAGTACTCCCAATATAACCAGGTCAAGAACACGCTGTCCACATTGCAGCGGAAACAAACGTACGTTGACTACGGCGGAGACTGCAACCTGTGGCATATAGCACACGAGAACCAGAATTAACCCGTTTACACAGAGGAAACCTCTCAACCAAGTCCCTCGCCTCGGTGGTCGACCCGAAATCCATCATCCAGGATTCCGAATACATCGAAACCCACCTCGTTGCCGTGCCCGCCCAGCTAATAAAAGACTTCCTCAAGACCTACGAGACCGTCGCGCCAATGGTGGTCCCGCGGTCCGCGCAGCTAGTCGCTTCCGACAGCGAATTCACGCTGTACGCTGTGGCAGCGTTCAAGAAGCACAGCGTCGAATTCGTGCATAAGTGCCGTGAGCAGAAGTGGATCCCGCGCGACTTCAAGTATGTCGAGGGTGGGAAGGAGGAGGAGCGCAAGGAGGTTGAGCGCGTTGGTGGTGATGAGCGCAAGGTATGGGGTGAGACGCTACGACTCGGGCGCACGGCTTGGAGTGAGGCTGTTATGGTCTGGATTCACGTTTTGGTTCTGAGGGTGTTTGTCGAGACGGTGCTGCGTTATGGATTGCCGTTGGATTTCGTCTGTGCTTTGGTCCGGGTATGTTCTATCTTCTCTGCTTGTCGTTGGCTTTTACTGTGGCAATTTCTGACGTTCTTTGCTTTCTACAGACACAAACTGCCAAGCAAGCAGACCGCGCAAAGCAGAACCTCGAGAATAGATACTCGTATCTGGCGGGCAACGCCTTTGGGCGGGACAAGAAGGGCCGTATGCAGCGGGATGATCCTGGCGAGATGCACGCAGGTGGTGAGGGCGCCGCAGACTACACGCCGTATGTGTTTTATGAATTCGAGTTCAACTAAGGTTGCCTATTTTGCGAGGCATTGCAGATACAAAGCTTCGAGAAGACGTTGCGTACATATACCACTTTGGTACATCTAGCATAAAGAGAATAAAACTGCGCCCAGTCAAAGCTTCAGGGGGAGATCATGAATGCTAGAAGCTAAAGAGGCCAGGCAAAGGCAGCCTTAGGCCAATGCGGCAGTGGTTAGTCCATATGCAATAGAGTCAAGTTGCACTTCCTCCTCGGGATAACGTGGAATGAGGGATGACACCATTTCATTGAAATCAGTGAAAGACGGCTGAATTGATAACGCCGCGCTTTCGAAAGCAGGAGGATATGCACCAGAATATGCCCAGTCAATCAACCACACTCGTACATACTGATCTAAGACCAGGTTTCGAGGACTGATGTCCTGGTGCGTGACAACGAACTTGGTAAGATGGAATGGCGGCGTGTCTTCTGGAGCTTGACGGACTTTGTTGCACATATCAAGCTTATGGTTAAACCATGCTTCTATCTCAGCTGTGTCTTCAAAAGGTCCGGCACTATAATCTGTAAAGAACCAACCCCGGTATGGCCCTCCACCAATAGGACCGGGCTGTAGAAGCTTAATAGACTGCATCTCTTCAATCATTTTAGCAACCTACGTAGCGATTTCCCTTTGGGTAACGAGTGATAGGCCGTTCCAGCATTCATCTAGAGGTTGGCCTTGGATGAAATCCATAACAATATACCCAGATATGCCGAAATATTGCGTATCATCTCTCACCTGAAACTATCGATGGACTCGCGGGATTCGGACGCTAGCTCTAGCAGCGATAAGACTAAGCATTTTCGCTTCGCTAGCTAGGACACTTCCATCCCCCCCCCCTTCATTATCAACTTCTCTGAAAACCGTACAACCGTTGTTGCACCTAGCTGATGGATAATAGGAGCAGTTGTAACAAGGGCTGCCAGAGCCTCATCTGTGACCGAGTCCAGATCCTTTCCGTCTAGTGGGAAGACTCCGTCAGTGTCACGACTTCGTGACTTAGTGTTATGTCAGTAGATGCCACTTGAGCGCATCGTGATTAACATACATGGGTGATGGGGCGTAGTAATGTTTCCATTTCAGTGACGGCCATGGCAATGAATGTGTGATTATTCCAAAAGAAGGAACCTGAGGGAGAGGGAGTTCATTCCTCTGCTGGATCAAAGCATATGCGGTGTGGGGAGAAGGATTCGAGCTGACCCTCTGAGAACATTGTAGAAGCTTAGACCGAGCTCCAAATCTAGCAAAATATAATTGTATCATAGGTTTCTCAATGACACGCATTCAAGCAAACAGCAAAAGGGGATGTCCCATTACCTATCCTCGGCCCAGCTCATAAATACAGCGCAAAAGCGATCTGATCTATATTGTCCACGTAATATGTACAGCAAGCGGGAAGGGGAATCAAGCACAAAAACACCATATCCAATCCGCTGTACAGGACTCTTTTTATGTAAAGCCGACCATAGATACATCCGTCAAATCTCAATCATATCCCAATCCCAAAAGCAAAGAAACCACCTTACTCCTTCTTGGCAGGCAAGTAACCCTTGGAGTCCAGGTAATCGATAATCTGCTTCACAGCATCCTGAACAGGCAACTCATAGTTCTTCACATGAACCTCCGGGTTGGCAGGCGCCTCATAAGGAGCCGAGATACCAGTGAACTCCTTAATAACACCCTCGCGAGCCTTCTTGTACAAACCCTTGGGGTCACGCTGCTCGGCGACCTCAACGGGGACATCAACATAGACCTCGACGAAAGGCAGACCGGTCTCCTCGCCGGGCGTGACAATCTCGTGCAACTGGCGGGCAGTGTCACGATCCTTCCGGTAGGGCGAGATGAAAGAAGTAATGGCGATGGAGTTGGAGTCGGCGAACAGCTTGGCGACCTCGGCAATGCGACGGATGTTCTCGTTACGGTCGGCCTCGCTGAATCCAAGGTCCTTGTTCAGTCCGAACCGGATGTTGTCGCCGTCGAGGCGGTAGGCGTGCACGCCGCGGTCGCGAACGAGCTGGTGCTCGAGCTCGACGGCGAGAGTGGACTTGCCCGAGGCGGAGAGTCCGGTCAGCCAGATTGTGAGACCTTGCTGGTTGCGCAGCTCGGTGCGCTCGCTGCGGGTCAGGGCGCTGGCGTGGAAGGTGATGTTGCTATTTGGTATGGGTTAGATTCGGACATAGTTTGGCATTGGGGCTAACTTACGTAGCCATTTTTGAGGTATTTGGATTTAAGAAAGAGGGAGAAAGTTGAAAAGGAAAGTCATAGAAATAGGGGAGGGGCAGTGGAGGGCAGTGGAAACGGCCGCGTCACAGAAGATGTGATCATCGCGGGGTGTCGCAATAGCTTGGCGTCTCTCGTACATTTCGTAGTCTTCCATATTAGAAAATTATATTTATATACCTCAATTCTATACCCATTTACACATAAAAGATCTATATAATCTCTCTTGACGCCAGGAACCAGGAACAGGAACCAAATGCAGAAATTCGGGAATTCCCCAATCACGCCACTTTATAGAGACTCGACAGCGCCTGGGAGAAATTAGCCACCGGAAAAGTCAAAATCCTATTTTCCACACTTACAGCAGCTTGTCGAGGCTCAATGAACAAAGCCTTAGCCTCAACCAACACCACAGGCTCCGTACCATCACTCGGAAGAGTCTCAATACGACCTTCCACCCACGCCTTGCGACCCTCAACCCTAACAGTTTCCGCACGGAGGGCAACATACTGATCCGCCATAGCTGGAGCCCGATAATCAATATTCAAATTGGCCGTAACGCCAACCTTATTAGGCAAAGCCGGGAAGCAACAACGCGCCAGGCCCTCATCCAACAATGTAGCCAGTAGACCGCCGTGGATAATACCCTGGTGACCGCAGACATCGCCGCCCAGATACATGAGCGAGATCATGGTCTTGCCCCCGCGCTCGCTGAATACATATGGCGGCACGACGATCCTCCCGGGTCCGGCTAGTGTTCCGGCTGTCAGGTTGCGTTCGCGCAGGGGCTCGGGTATTGTAAGGTGTGGGCGCGATTCGGTGAATTCCGGGTTTGCGCGGAGGGCCTCTGCGACGGGGTGAGTGCGGATCGCGTTATCGATCTCCGAAGTTGCGGAGTCGGTGGCAATGAATGCCGTCAGGGTCTCCTCGTCGGTTGGGGCGGCCATGATGCGTGAGACGGTTCGTTGGGTTTGGTAGGTCAGCCCGATGGTGAATGCGAAGACGGCGATTGAGGTAAAGCCGATGAAGCGGCGGAAACGCGAGCGCTGCGCTTGGGGAGGTGGAGCGTGGATAGAGGCGGAGGGAGTCGGTGCTGTGAATACCGGGTCAGTTCTTCTGTTGGAAATGGGGCAGGCTGTTCATAACTTACCGGTAGAGTAGGACCGGGTATAGGGTCGCTTCGGAGTAGCGGAGAAAGAGTCGCGGATAAGGAGTCGTGAAGAGAGTCTGGAGGAGAAGGAAATGTCGCGAAGAGAAGGGAGAGGAGTAAAAGATCGGAACATCATAAATTATAAAGAGCGAAAAGAAAAAGAAAAATTCCAAATTTAGAGATCTAGAAGGCGAAGTTGTTGAGAAAAGAGTGGTTGAGGGCAAGGCGAAGTGGATTGGTGTGAGATTTACCTCGGCATCTTCACTTCACCGAGAATATCCTTTATGTTCATAACTTCTATATTTATTATCGGGTTATGAAAAGATCATTAAAAAATTTCTTTTTGTCTCTTTGGCTTTATCCTTGGATTCGCAATGCACATACGTGTACGGAGTAGTCCGTAGGTAGCCATGTTATCAACATTGAAGACAACATGTAGTAAAGTGAGTGGCCCTATGTCTCACCTATCACGTTATTGTTTGATTTCATTTTCGTGTACTGGCCATCAATAAGTATCTCTAGCACTGTGTCAATTTCAAGGAATCGAAATGTCTTATATCATGGTTTTGAAGAGGTTGCTCAAAGCCAGAGAGATATATATATCGCAGAAAGCCATGATTTCGCCAAACTCCCTAAACAGGCTGAATATCACCTAAAAGCATTAAGTTATGAAGAAAAACTGGCGCAGACAATTATTATGAGATGTTAAGTTGTAATCTATCGCATCTACTAGTTATGTGTCTTGTGGTCCACGGGTGTAAAGCTCGCTTACCAATTAGGTTATATGGGGCTTTTGTCTTAAGATGACAATGATGTTCAGGCCAAAAATATGTTAGTTGGCCTTTAATACTCTCTTAAAGTGAACTGATCTGCAAACCCTCCGGCATGTTTCCCATCTTAGAAGGCCAACTATGGGATGAGTCCGGTGGCACTTCTCCACAAGAGCTATCCCCCGCATGGAATCCTCCGAGTTTTGATCAAGTGCATACCTAGCCTGGGGTTTATATGGAGTACTTGTGTACAGGTTCTTGTCATTGCATATACAACGTTCCATTTATGTCTTATCCCACCGGAAAAATCTACATCTTAAAAGGGACTCATTGTCAGACCATTGCACTCATGTTTCAGACAACGCCTGCAGAACAGCTAGGCCCATTCCTCTCCGAACCTACTAGCCTTTCCAGTCTTTCTATCCGGAGCAATTCAAAATGATGCACTCCAATGACTGGCAGAAACCCCTCGCTATATTCGTCTACCTTTTTCTTTCTCTTTCCTCTTTCGTCAATGGACATTCCGACTTAAATATCAGGGATGTTGGAGCCCAGGCCTATGCATTCGACCTTGGGGGCGTCGAATTGGCCCAAGACCGCTTCTTGGAAAACCAGGACCGCACCCTGAAATACTTGAAAGAAATAGACGTCGACAGACTACTTTATGTCTTCCGGGTGACCCACGGGCTCTCTACGCAGCAGGCGACGCCTAATGGTGGTTGGGATGCTCCGGATTTCCCATTCCGTTCGCATGTCCAGGGTCATTTCCTCAGTGCCTGGGCTCAGTGCTATGCTGTACTCCGCGACCAGACATGCTATGATCGAGCGACCTACTTTGCGGCCGAACTGCAAAAGTGTCAGACCAACAACAACGCTGTTGGTTTCACGGAAGGATATGTATCTGGCTTCCCAGAATCAGACTTCGCAAGACTTGAGAACGGCACCCTGACAAATGGCAATGTCCCGTATTACGCCGTGCACAAGACACTTGCCGGCCTTCTCGATATTTGGCGCTTGACAAACGACACTACTTCTCGAGATGTCTTACTGTCCTTGGCTAGCTGGGTCGACAGACGCACTGAACCATTGAGTTACAATGCAATGCAAAAGTTGTTACAAACGGAATTTGGTGGTATGAACGAGGTGATGGCTGATATTTACCACCAAACTGGTAACAAGAAATGGCTTACCGTTGCCCAACGCTTTGATCATGCGGTTATATTTGACCCCCTTGCGGCCAACAAAGATAAATTCGACGGTACACACGCAAACACTCAAGTACCAAAGTGGATTGGGGCCGCTCGCCAATACAAAGCCACCGGAGAATCTCGCTACCTCGATATCGCCCGCAACGCCTGGGAAATCAATGTCAAATCACACACATACGCCATCGGTGGTAACAGCCAAGCCGAACACTTCCGTGCTCCAAATGCCATCGCCGCTTATCTTACCAATGACACATGTGAAGCATGCAATTCCTATAACATGCTCAAGCTGACCCGCGAGCTGTGGCTGCTTGATTCCGACAACTCGGCCTACTTTGATTTCTACGAAAACGCCTTACTCAACCACCTGCTGGGCCAACAGGACCCTCATGATCACCATGGCCACATCACTTACTTCACCCCTCTGAACGCTGGAGGTCGCCGTGGTGTTGGTCCTGCCTGGGGTGGCGGTACTTGGAGTACGGACTACGACTCATTCTGGTGCTGTCAGGGAACGGCACTCGAAACAAACACCAAGTTGATGGATTCGATCTACTTCTACAGTGACTCGACGTTGTTTATTAACTTATTCATATCTTCTGTTCTGAAATGGCAGGAGATGGGAATTACCCTGAAACAATCTACGACTTACCCAGTCGGCGATACATCGCAACTGGAAGTCTCTGGTAGTGGTGACTGGACGATGAATATCCGCATCCCTGCATGGACGTCAAGCGCAGAGCTGACGTTGAATGGGAAAGCTTTGCCTGATGTTAAATCTACTCCTGGGACATATGCTCAAATCTCGCGCACATGGGCCGATGGAGATGTCGTTGAGATCCGCTTCCCCATGAGTCTGCGTACGGTGGCTGCAAATGACAATTCGAGTATGGTTGCAATTGCGTATGGGCCGAGTATTTTGTGTGGCAATTACGGCGACCAAGCATTGAGTAGTACTCCTACTCTCGCCCTTGACTCTATCAAACGCTCCGGGGCTTCTAGCCTTGATTTCACCTCCATTGCCGACGACAAGAATGTGACACTGAGTGCTTTCTATGACGCTCAGGGATACAATTATAACGTGTACTGGGCTACCATAGGAAGTCTTGACGCTGCGTAGTGGTTCCGAGCAGATCGTTGAAGAAATAAGCACTTATTCTTAAATCAACTATCTTATTTTCAATTCCTTATCCTTGATCCTTACCCGGGCATTCTAGAACCCGGCAGTAATATTTGCGGAATGGAGATGCTGGGAACTATTGAGAATGCCACTAAACATACTTGCATAGGTAGATTAGAGCGTAAACATGAAATTGTAAGTGAAGGTAAGGACATCCGGGGAGATTGGGCTCTTTACGATCTCTAGTTTACTATAAGAATTGTTCGCCTGTTATAACTTACCGGAAACGCTATAAACTGTGTGTGTTTCTTCTTATTATATCTACCTATGCTCGACTAGCTCCTGTCTCTTCCGGCTAAGAGAGTAGGTATAGAGAGACTTTATAAGAATTCGCGAGACTTTGCTACTACCGTCGAGTATCCGAGCTAATTATTTAGGCTTTACGATGTATACTGGGTATTCTGTAGATAATTAGCAGGATTTGGGCGACCAAGCACGAGTCAAAGACGACAGGTCGAAAGGTCGGACTAAACCAATGCTACGCATCTGATAAGTGCTTTGAATTTTATATAATGTTCTATCTAGCCTATCTATCTCATGCCCATTCAAAAAAGTTTGCAACGACGGCTGCAGGTCTGCAGGATTCGAGTCGAAAAAAAAGAAAAAAACGACGGCTGTAGGATTCGAACCTACGCCTGCGAACAGAATTGATTTCACGAACGGAATTGATTCCATAGCGTTCGAGTCAATCGCCTTAGACCACT